TTTTTTTTTTTTTTTCATATTATTGTAATGATGCGGTTTTATTATTAACTTTGTTTGTTTTATATCTTCCACACAGATCTGGGCTTGTGAATTATTTCCCGAAATTTTAAAGGATTCTGGAATGTTACGGATGAGTGACAACCTTCCTAGGGGCGCGCGATGGGCATGTGCAAAGGTGCCATTCAAAGGTGCCAATAAACTCGATAATACTGAGGTAATTCTTGGTTTCATTAAAAATCAATTTCTTGTGACGTGCATGTTCAATTTGGAACAATGGCTTCTACCTAGATTTGTAGATTGATTATTTGTTATATTTTTTTGTGCTAGATTCCATATTCACCTATTTTGTTAACGGCCGAGGAGAGGAATGCCTCTTATATGGCGGGCATCGACAGAGATTTATCTTCAAATATTCAATACATTCACCGTGATCAGTGGGTGAGCAACTGTCAACCATTGTCGGCCAAAAAGCATGGACGAGGGTTGAAGACAATGCGACTCTCAAAGAAGGCCCATTCTGCAAACAATCTGGATATTTCTGAAGAAGATGAAGATATTCCGCCAGCAAAAAGAAGAGCGCATGTTGTGCCGGAAAGACCACATTCAGTTGCATTTGAAAGAGCAACTGGATCATGTACCGGTGTTGATGAGGCGAAGATTGAAGATGTTGTATCGAAAAAAATTGAAGAGGCTTTTGCTAGGATGTTCCCTAGGTTTGTTGACGCTGCGGTTACCGAGGTGATTAAACGATTAGATGATTATCTAATCGTTCGAAGCACGGCCCGTCCCGGATCTGAGGATTTGGAGACCGTGAAGGATGATTTGGGGATGGATGATTTGGGGAAGGGAGAAGCATGGAGGCAAGAAAGAGACGATTCGAACAAAAAGTCTGATTTTGTAAGTTTGTATTATCTACAACGTACCCTTATTTTGTTATACAAAAAAAATAAAAATCTTTTATTTACATCCTTAACATTTGAACACAGGTAGTTGAGCCCGGTGATCATGGTGTTTCACGTGAGGATGTTGAGGATGTTGTGGATGAGAATGAAGGTATTGCCAAAGTTGGCCCCTCACAGGCTGTAGCTACTATGAATCCAAAGCCGACAGAAGGAGGTGGATTCACGGATGGTCGAAAATTACGCGTTAAGTTGAAAAATAGCAAGTTTTCCTCACCATTCGTTGACTACCGGGAGAAGAAAACTGAGAAGCAATTAAAGACGAAATACGAAAATTGGAAGAAGAAGAGATCTCAAATGTAAGTAGCATGCCAATTGTTATATTTTTAAAATTTATAGCATATATGTGAATTTTCTAAATGAGATTCTCTTAACATGAACCCATATTTATCTTTTATTTTTTTAGGTTAGACGTTGGGATAACACCTACTTGGTATCAGGGGCCAAAATATTTTAAAACAATTGAGGATGTCAGGAAAATGCTTTCTAATGAAGTAAGCAAATGTTCTTAGAATTAAATCTCAATACTCGGAGGTAGCTGTTCAAAAAATTAATATACTTTATAATTTTTGTAGCATATCGATCCGTTTTTGGACGTGCTTTCTCGGAGGTTGTACAGTGGGGTCAAATTGAAGTCGGGAGTATCTGCTTCAAGAATAAACATTCAGGATTGCGCTCTATTTGTAATTGCTCTTTCCATTGGTTATATTTATTGCTTAATTAATTTTTATATTCTTGAATGATTCGTGTTGATGCTTAATACTTATTTTCAGCGCTTGTTGTCGAATGAATGGAAAGTGCTTCATCCCGACGATCCTCAATGTACGCAGAGCTATCCAAACGATGCAAATTATGAGAGATGGGATGTTCCTCCGGTTCTGGTCAATTATGTTCGTGGTACTGCTATTCGTTGGGGATCTCCTTGGCATACAAATCCCGATGTAAGTTTTTATTTTGTTCTTTATAAAACCATTTTGCGTTGGCTATGTGATAAATTATGTTGGATGGTATGAAATGTACTTGTAACATTTATAACATTGTGGTCATTTTGGTATGTAATGTTATCGAGCATTGGGTGGTGTGTCGGGTACGGTTATTGGACTGGGAGATCGAACTTTACGACTCCTTTAGCCACATTTCATCATCGAAGGCGGGAAATGACCGAGAGCTTATGTTGACCCCTCTCCGACGACTACTTCCCACACTACTTCACCGGTCCGGTTACTTTGGTGCTATGAATCTTCCGCCCAAGTTAGATGCCTTACCGATTAAGAGAATGTCGAGTGAAGTTCAGTTTGTTCAAGAGGATATCCATAATTGTGGTGTATTTGCTTGCATGTACGTTGAACGCATGCTTGGCGAGAACATTCCCCGGGAGTTGGACATAAGTTTATATAGACAGAAAATGGCATTAGCAATTTTTGCTCATGGTATTCCCGTGTCGAAGTAGACCGAAAATATGTTTTGGGGCTTTTGTTGTGTATTGCTATTGCCAATTGTAGTGTATTTTGTTTGTACTTAGACAGTTGTGGTCTATTGGATACTTTGGCTTGCAGTGGTTATACTTTGGCAATTGTGGTCTTTTTGTGGTACAATTCGTGGTTTTTTTTGTCTCTGTTTAATGTCTGGTTTGTGTTGTTGTACTGCTATTAGGTCAAAGGTATGTGCTTCTCCGCGACTCGCGGAAAAATCCCGCGAGTCGCGACCCTGGGAATCCTGTATGCCGGAGGACTCTGTTGTTCACCGCGACTCGCGGAAAAATTCCGCGAGTCGCGACCCTGGGAATCCTGTATGCCTGAGGGCTCTGTTGTTCACCGCGACTCGCGGAAAATTCCCGCGAGTCGCGACCCTGGGAATCCTGTATGCCGGAGGGCTCTGTTGTTCACCGCGACTCGCGGGAAAATTCCCGCGAGTCGCGACCCTGAGATTCTTGTATGCCGGAGGGCTCTGTTGTTCACCGCGACTCGCGAGCTCTTCCGCGAGTCGCGATTGTTATTTTTTTTTTTAAAGAACTGAAAATCCTGTGCCATTTGTTTTGTTCTAATTCTGCTTTCTTATTGTCCCCTCATGTTAAATTCAAGCCATCATGATCATTGAGTAAATGAAAACAGAGAACTTACGATTCACAATCTGTTTTTACTTTCAGCAAACCAACAATACCATTGTTTTCAAACATCACCATAGCAAATCAAAAGAAATCACCAAATCAGTAGCAAAACAAAATACGGGGTTCTTAAATAGAAGTAAAAGCAACATCCTAAAAGGCCAAGTCATTATGCACCAGGAGCATCAGTCTGATCTTGGTGCGACCCAATGGCTTGGAGGCGAATATTCAAATTGTCGAACCGGGCGTTGATTTCTCTCATGTCCCTATCGTAGCGGACCTCAAATGCTGACCACCACGGTGGCGGTTGCGTCCACCACGCCGGCGGTTCAGACAAACATGCCGGAGGCTGCTGTGGCTGCGGCGGTGGCACTTCGGGCTCTTCAATAATCATCTGCTCTTGCGTCTGCGTCTCCTCCTCCGCCGCGTGTGTGTCCTCCTCTTCTTCAGCCTGATCGGTCGCCGTGCCCGCCTTCAATTTGTCCATGTAAGATCTGAAAGCCGGGCGCACTGTGTGATCTCGAAAGGTGTGACGATCCATAAGGAAACCAGCATGATATAGCTCGTAGTAATCGATACGAGCCATCTTAATTGGAGCGCTGCCCGACGCCTGTGGGTCTACTTTGAAATGTTTGGCCAGAGCCGTGACAATATGCCCCATGCATGGATACGCAGTTTTGCGTTGGATGATGTCCAGAAAACTGTGACGTAGGGCTTGGAACATATTCGGTCGCTTTCCTCTGAGCATGCACCAAATTAGAAGAAGTTGCCAACGACTGACCTTGCTCGCTTCTTTTTTTCCGAAGATGCTGTAGCACAAAAATTTATGAATCACAACAATTGCACCATCCTTAATCAACCCATTTGGCAGACCAGAGGAATTCCAAACGGTGCCCGGTGCGATCTCGGGCCAGAATTCATCGGCAGAAAACTCGTTGGTGTTCCATTCCTCGCCCCACCTCAAATCTTTTATACCGAAAACGCTCTCAATTGTTTTCCAGGAAAAGGCACAATTATTTCCGAGCAGACGGCATTCCATATACTCATCTCCTAATCCTTTTTTTTTTAAGGTGAGTGTGCTGAAAAATTCTAGAGTAAGGTTGTCGTAAGCCGGCTCATCCATATTGGCGTAATTTGTCAATCTGAGCGTCTCTAGGTACCCTTTGACCTCCACTAGAATACCGAGATCCTCCAGTAACTTGAAGTCGAACGTCTTCGGTTTGATCATCTTCTTTTGTGAGAGGCGACGGTAGGTCTCCCCTTCTATGTCTGAAAATATAGCAAAAGGGGCATTATAAACCGCCCGGAGATCCGTCGGTTCACTCTGGACAGCTTGAGACGAGGATTCACCCTTCTTCCGCTTGCCAGTCGCGGAAGTTCCCGCGTTCGCAGTATTTCCTTTGCTCCGAGTTGAACGTTTTGGTCCCATTTTGGAGTTGGAACTAGTTTAGGAAATTCATCAAACACCTTGCGGGCGGAATCCTGGGAACAGAGAATGGTTGAAGAATTGAAACTACAAAATCCAAAAAACAACTCACATTCTCAGCCCAATAGCATAACACATAATGGTTCAGCACAACTGCAATAACCAAGACCAAATCAAGCTTCAAAATGTCAACAAAATTAATAAATCTAGCATGTCTTTAACCCTTCATAAACTGAAACTAAAGCTCCACAACATCACAAGATCTCGGCCAAAATAATGCATAAAAGGTAGCCATAAAAGGAAGACTAACCGTAAAAGGTCGGATGCTGAGGACGATCGCTGTAAAAGGAAGACTATTGGGCTCAGAGAACGATTCGCCGGATACAACTCGGGTCGCCGAAAACAGGACGTGGCTCAGTTGGGTTCGTCGTCACGGCTGGCTGGAGGTCAGAGCTCGGAGATTGCGGGTCGTCGTCGGAGGTTGACGCTCGCAATCGCCGGTGGAAAGTGAGCCATCGGGAGAAAATCGGCGTGAAAGTGAGAGTGAAAAGTGAAATCGATTTTGCCCTAGTCGCGTTACTTAAAATTGACTGCCGCGACTCGCGACTTTGACCGCGCGTCGCGAGCCTGGAGGTGCATAAAGCATTAAACACGCTGTTCTTCACCGCGAGTCGCCCGCGAGTCCCCCGCGAGTCGCGACGTCTTCTCCGCGAGTCGTCTCCGCGATTCGCATGATAATTTTTTTTTTTTTTT